TGGTTCCCAGATGTATCTTGGAGGGTGGCTGGCCACTAATGGGATCCCTAGGTACTTACAAGGCAGCTGATCGACACCACACCGCAATATTCCAGCAAGATTCAATACTCTATCCTCTGAAAATCCAATACCAATAAGTTTAGTTTACCCCAAGTTAACTTTAAAACCAGTTACTACTTTCATACAGTTGAGAAAGATCCGTAAGTTCTTAACCTCTCTCTTTGTAGGGACACAAAAAATAGTAGTGTCATTTGCATATTGCATATGTGACACTATTAGCCCCTATTACCAACTTCAAGTCCTTAACACTAAAGGTTTCAGCAACAATCGTATACAGAAAAGGGGATAGGGGGTTACCTTGCCTTAGACCTCTTGAAGCATTGACGAAGATTTACCATTTGTAAGGAGAGAAGAATGTGTTGAAGACAGGCAGTCTTGTATCCATGCCCTCCATTTAGATATGAAACCCATCCTTCCCAATTTATCATGCAGCACACTCCAATCAACTCTGTTATAAGCCTTCTCGAAATAAGTTCACAAAGCATACTTGGAATTTGATCCTTTAACCTACTATGACTGCACTCTTGCGCTACCAAGATACTATCCATAATCTACCTATCCTTCAAAAACACTGATAGGGGTCCCAAAACAACTAGGTGCATGATTTGGCGCAATCTATTGGACAAGACCTTGGCAATAATTTTATACGAGCCTCCGAATAGACTAATAGGTCTGATATCTTTAATCTCTTCAATAATTGATTTCTTAGGAATCAATGTAATAAAAGTGGCATTCATAGTGACATTAATCCTTTGCCTAGAATGGAATTCCTTGAGCATCTTATGTAGGTCATTCTTCAATAGATCCTAGAATGTTTGGAAAAAGGCCATGGGGAAGTCATCTCGTCCTGGTGCCTCATCTCTCCCAGACCAAAGACAACATCCCTGGCTTCCTCCAATTTGAATTCTCTTTCTAACCATACTGCATTATCAAGAGGTAGTCTTTTAAAAGGGACATTACTTAAAGACGATCTCGTTACAACAAAATCCACAAAAGATCGTTTAAAATGTTCAACCAAGGCCAATTCTACGTCCTTTTGATTGCTACAGTCAATACCTGCTATTTAGCATGGAAAAATTTGGTATTCTTATCCCCCGCCTTTAACCACTTCACTCTAGATCTTTGCCTCCAGTGGATTTCTTGCAACCTAAACAACTCATGTAACAGATTGCTACGTTCTAGACTCGGAGCACTAGTGAGAACTCCTCTCATGGATTGAATATTGTCAATCTCTTCATCCTTCTCTTATTTTCTTGAATTTTCACATCCAAAATTCCTTGAGATTCATGTTTCCACTGGATAATCTTCTCTTTCATCATTTTCAACTTAGTGGTTAACTGATATCCTTTCCATCCCGCAACTTCGGAATTTTTTCCAAACACTCTCAATCAGATTGATCAAGCCTCTATTTGATAACCACACCAATTTAAACCGAAATGGAGCAGGCCCCAAAGGTAACCCATTAAACAGAAAGGGACATGATTTGAAGAAATCCTAGGCAAGGCTTTGGAAGAAAGGTTAGGAAAACATTCAAAAAACAAGGGGGACACAAGGAATTTGTCCAAATGGGTCAATACATGAGCAGTGGGAGAAGTATTTGATTAAGTGAACTTGGCCCCCATTGATAAAGCATCAATAAGCTCAAACTGGTGAATAAAATTATCAAATTTTTTCATGCAAAGAGTAAAATGGTTGGCTTTGAAGACTCATTCAGACATCTAATGATATTAAAATCATCTCCAATGCACCAAGGAACATTGTAGTAACAAGAGATATCATACAAATCATCAAGGAACAGATCCCTCTCATATGCTTTCTTTGGGCTATACAGATTAGTAAGACACTAATGAAAATTATCCATAGGGCCAGTAAAGCGTACAAAGACATGTCTATCATTTGTCAAAAAATCATGACCATGCAAAAAGGTTTTTCCCAACTAGTTCATAAATCCCTAGACAAACCATTAGCATCTGAACCCACACATTGCATCGGTCTATTACCCGTGATAGCCTTAACTGTGTTCAATGTCGGGGCCTCCATTTTTGTTTCTTGCAAAATTAGAACATCAGGTCTCTCATTTTTACAAAGAAGAAGACATCATTCTTACGCCTAATGCTATTGAGACCCCTAACATTCCAACATAGAACTTTCATTAAAAAAGATAACCCTTATTATGTTTGGTGGCGTTGAAAGAACCAGCAGACACAGGGAGATAAGGCTCACAAATAACCCTATGATAATGATCACCCTTATCTTCTTTGTCATAGTTGATAGTGCTTACCAAGTTGTCCAGCTCCCTCTGAACTCGGCCCTTTTTCTTGGCTTTGTTTGATCTGCTACAACCCGCCTTAGCAGCAACGTCTTCCGTATGTGCTTTCTGTAATGCATCGGTAATAATATCCAGCGAATCACCATAGTTGATGTTCATTGCATCCATAACTTGACCAACCTCTGTCGGATGAATGATCAGAGGCCATTTGTGCTCCCATCTTCATCCCCTTCGCCATGTCTTCCATAAAAGGGCTCATTTGGAAAACTAACGGAAAGAGGCAGGACAGTTAGAAGCTCTTGTTCACCTACATCACCACTCTCCTCTTCTTGAACCTCTTGCTGGCCCACCGGTGATGGCAGCTCCACTTGATAGTCCCCCAGTTCCCATACCTCATTACCCACAACATTTGGTATTGGCAAACCCTCGTCTTTCTCATCTTCTACATTGTAAACTAGAAGTGGAACCGTGGACCAACCCTTGGTGTCTCTCTTAGCTTCGTGGTCGACTGCCTTGGGAGCGTCCGATGCCCACCGTCCACTTCTCCTCTACGTTCTTCCTGTAAAAATTAGGAGGCGAAGCTTTCACTAAGGTAGGGCTGTTTATTTTCACCATTGCGCTTGTCCCTCTCCCCAAGGTTGCCGTTCATGTCCACGGCTTAGAAAGCGGCGCGAGCACATTTTCCTTCTACATGTCTTGATTACATATAGACTGGTTTTCGTGATTTGGGTCGCATGATGGGGTACGATCTTCTGTGGGCCTAGTTGAGCCTTTTTGAAATTTGAAGCCACCACCTTATTTCCGTCATACTTGACAACCCACTTTTGGGTGATAGTTTTCCGCGAAATCTGTTTCCTGATGAGGATGGCGGCTAGATTTTACCCTGCTTATTGATATGCTGTGAGAAGAGCAGTACTGCTCCTCGGGATGGCCATTGCTGCCCACAAGGCCTTTCTTCCTTTCATAATCCATCGCTATCAGGCTGATCAACAGAGGAATATACCTTGTTTATCTGACAGACCTTGCCATCAGCCTTCTGAATCTCTTTAAAAGTCAATAAAAATCAAAACTACCAACCTTCAGAACACGAGATGAAACATCCATCACTTTTTTCTCAACCTGAAGAATAAGTGAAGCGTATGTGGTAGATGTGCAGTCAATCTTTATCAGTCTTTCACATAGACTAGCAATGTCTTTGAATACTGTTATTGACCAAGTGATGACTAGTATCCCTTTCACCACAAACCAAGCAGATCTAGGTTTAATGAGAGAAGGTATCCCTTGCCAGGAACCCATTTTTTCAGCAATCACATCAAACCTGCAAAACCTTTGATTCAAAACTTTTTTGGCTTCATCATTTGTTCCAAGGAAGCAAATGATTTTAGTACACAGTAAAGCTCTGAACAGGCTAGGAGTAGTCGTCCAAGTCTTGTACACCCAGGACTGGAAGGCCTCAATGTCTGTGATTGGTCTAGCGAAAGAGATAACTATAGTAGACCCTAGATGCTTTTTCAGTTCAGCTACTGCATTATCACTAACAGCTATCAAAGATCTCCTAGGGTTCTGAGGCCCAACAAGAGAACGTAGGATATACACATAGGATAGTGGGGGACCCTTCCCATCACCCCCTGACCATGCCATGGCCTAGTTGGCACCCACCTTCTCTCTCTCACTCTCTCCAGACCTCTCCCATTTGTGCCTCCTTCCTATTTTCATATTTTTTTTTTCCAACTGTTCCTTTCCATCTTATTCTTTAAATTACATCAGAATAGGGGCAACAAATGGGTAGATACCGGAGAGAAATGCTGAGTAGAGTCTCAGGTATGAAGAGAGGAAGGGATTTGCGCAGAGAGAGAGAGAGAGAGAGAGAGAGAGAGAGAGAGATCCCACAATGTCAACAGGAGATGCATAACTTATGGGACAAGATATTGTGACATATGGTCTTACTGACAATATGGCCCTTGTTAGAGCAGAATGGCAGAATAAGATTTATGTAGCTGATCCCAAATAGTTGGGATGAGGCTTCGATGATGATGATGCTGCAATGTATACTCATACTAAGAAGTGTCGTTTCCTTTTGTCCCTTTGTGTAAGTTATTGTTCAGACCCTTTTATTCGTGTTTCCCTTTTTCACTATATCCTAAAATAAACACTTCAGGTTCTAGTTAACCTATACAATGTGAAACAGTTCCTGATTAGTCAACATGAGTTTGCTAGCATAGCTTCTTGGGTATCAACTGGCTCAATCTCTGAATTTCCATCGCTAGAGGTTGATACCTCAATGTAATCCATCATATGCACATATTATATTTTTTACTTGAACTCCCTATCATTTCAAGAATGTTGGAACATGATGTCAAAGGTACATTTGGTGTAATCTGTTGTTTTCTCGAATAAATAGCCATGATATTACTTTGACGGAGATTTGTGAATATAGGTGTTCTGATCTTGTAGTTGCTAGCATTAGCTGTAGTTTTGAAAGCCACATTATTTAACATAGAAATAAATATTTTGACTTTGGTTAATAATTATACCTTCTTTTGGTAATTCGTGCTTTGAAATTCAATCCTTTTCTTGAGTAGTACCTTCTTGCTGTTTCTGTCATGGACTTGTTCGGTCACTGAATCATTGTACGTTTATTCGTATCTGAGTTCTTACTTGAACTGAACAGATTTTACTGCTTCATCCGAGGATACACAACTTGCTGAAGAGATGATTGCATTAGGTCTTCCATTATCATTCAGCGCAAGAAGAGAGGCAAGTATGGATTTATTATACATATTCCTTCATTCTACTTGCATATGTTTCTCTCTTTCCTCATCTTTCTTTTATATATGGCCTCCAGACTATAGCATTGCAGCAGAAAACTGTAGCAGGTAAAGGAAGAAGGAAGCATCGGCAGGTACTATCAGATGATACCAATCATAAAGATGCGCAGGAAGTTTCCAGAATGAGTCGTGAAGGGGGAACTGCCTCTCCTCTCTCTTTCAGTGATGGCATTGAAGAGTTCCCGACAATGTCTCTGGACAAGATAGCTGGAAATGAGTATGATAGTGCAGAAATTTGTTGTAACTTACACAATTTCCATGGTGAAGGAATCTGTGAGAGCTTATCAGTTAATGGTGGGGAGGATCAGAAGTTTTCTTGTAAAGGGATAAATGGGGTGATTGCTAGTAATGGTATGGATCATGACACAATCCTGGCATGTAGTTCAGAGGATATTGGGCAAGTTGCACATTCCTCTTCTCAATGCCACATTCAAATTTCATCAGGAACGAGAATTCTAGGAACTAATGGGCTCATTTGTCATGGAAAAGACAAAGAACATGTGGAAGGTAAACAGGATGGATTTCTTCAAAAGAAAGATAAACAGGATGGAGATGTCTATTTTGTAAATGGCATTGCTGAAGTAGATGATATTGATGCCAAAAGAGAGGCCGAACAGCTGTGGAATTCTCAGTCTGTTGACTGCCTTGATCCTTCAGTATCAATTGAACATGACTGCCAAGATGGTGATGTTACTTGTAGTATGGATCATTTTAATGATCTGGGTGTATGGAGAGCAGTTTGGGACAGTTACTATGACAGAAATTATTTCTACAACATAGAAACATACGAGACAACTTGGTACCCTCCTCTGGGCGTGGAGCATTTGGCATCTTGTGGCGTCACATGTGATATAAGTGAGATGATTGTTGATCGAGATGACAGAAACTTTGGCTTGGAAAACTTTTGCAAGGATAACCAAGGGTTTGAGAAAAGTAGTTTGCAAGATGCTTGTGATTGCACAGATGGGGAAGTGCAGGACCCAAAGAAAATGTTTGAGGATTCTTCCATGTGCCAGGAGGTCAATAATTCTTGCAAGGAAGACCTGCATCCAGTTCCTCTGTCTGCTTTGCTTGACAGGTAATTCTCTCTTGAGAACAATGCATGCTTTTCCTTTTATTTTTTCTTTTTTTGATTTGACCACTGAGGGTCAGTTTGTCTTTGCTTGGGAAGCTTTCTACAACTTATATCTTATGATCAGTTTGATGGCAGTTCACAAGCAACACCTTCTGATGCCTGTTCTGAAGATTTGTGGATCAGTGATTTGCAGTTGCAATCTCTGAGCCTTCCAGAGGATGAACTGGACATGCCGAAGGAGCTTTCTCATAAAAAGAAAAAGAAAACGAAGAAGGGTGCACGGTTTCTAACAGAATCTTTTTCTATTGACTCCATCAGAGGTTTGTGGAGTCTTATTGCCAGGCCTCATGTCTGACATTTTTTCCCATCTTTAGTCTTTGGAATATTAATATTATACTTTTCTGTTGTATGATGGCCGAAAATGTGAATTTTCAATTGTAGTTATAACTTACAGAGCCAAAACTTGACCTGATCCTCTATTGTTTGAGCCTTCTCTAGCTCTCCATTATCTGATCATCCATAATTACATGCTGTGATCATAATGAACCACATGACACTCTTGCTACTTGTGCTTATGGCTTGAGATTGGCATGTGGCTTTTCTAAAAGTACGATTTATACATTATGCCATTTCATTTGTAATGCACCAATCGCCTCTTAAGGAAGCTGTAGTGAACTTTGCAAGCCACTGAGAAGCTTGCTTCCCCGTTATTTCCCTTCTATTTCCTTGAACATCTTACTTTGCTCCACAAAAAGGGATTACCACTGAGAGTTGTGAAACTTAAGATCAATTTTTTTTTGCACATTGGATAAATTCACTCTTCCATTTTAAAATACCCCTTCATAAGACGCGAGCACCATCGTTTCTACATGGCCTCTCATCATCCCTCTTTTCTACCCCTTCTTTTCAGCCCTAGGCCCCCTTTCTTGAATGCCCCTTCCCCTCATTCGCCCCTTACTATCCCCTCACCAGTTGGATTGGTCCCGCAACCTCCTCAGCACCCATACCCTTATCCCAGGTTCTTCTCCCCTCCCCCAATCGCCCCATCCCGCATCCCCCCAGGGCGCCACCTCCCTCTTCCCAATTCAGCCCCTCGACTGGGTCAGGTAAACATAAAGCCTTGCTGAACCCCTCCACACCTAGCAGCAACAATGCTCTCCAGCATTCGCAGACCCTGTTACGGCGAACCTGGATGCCCCTAACCTAACCTTGTCATCCTTGCCTCCGGAGGAGAGCTCCTCTTCGACCTCCCCCTCTTGTGTGGGCTCCCAATTTGTCAAAGAGTTGGGCTGGCTCAAGGAATCTTGACAATGTGATGGATGTTATGGGCTTCAAGTATAAGGGTCCAAAGAAAGCTCTAGTAAACTTCGTTTTCGGTGATGCCCCAACCACATGAACTAAAGGAAAGTGGGAGCTCGCAAACTTGGCTTGCAACATCAACTATGACAACCGACTCCCCCCCCCTCCCTCTCTCGGGCCCTCAATGCTGCACTCTCAAGCACTAGCCCCAGACGCCCTTCTAGGAGGGTCCTTACCCTTTGCATCATGAAGCTCCTCACATGGAACGTGAGGGGCTTGGGTGATCCCCTTAAAAGAAGGTCCACCCACAACTTTTGTCGCTCTTTTCTCCCAGTGGTTCTAGCGTTGGTCGAGACTAAACTATACGAACCCTCACTTCCCGTAATCTAACAAATCTAGGGTTCCAGACTGTGCAGTTGGCTTGCCTTGCCAGGGTGGGCGCATCAGGGGCATATGGGTTGTATGGGACCCAACCCTCCATGCTCTTTCCTCCTCTAACATTGGGGCCTTCTTTGTAACGACCCTTTTCTCCAGAGTGTTTGACGGCCTCAACTGGAAGTTCATTGCTGTTTACAACCAAATGCAAATTCTCGTCGTGACCTCTTCTGGCAAGAATTGGATCTGGCCTCCTTTCTCCTACACCCTCTTTGGTGCCTAGGAGGGGATTTTAATGTTACTAGGTGATCATTTGAGCGCAACAACAACCACAGCTTCTCCCCCGTCATGGTCTCCTTCTCTGAGTTTATGGCTAGGAATCGACTTCTAGATATTCCTCTTCAAGGGGCGGCCTTCACTTGGTAGAACCACTCCCTTAACCCTTCTCTCTCTAAACTAGTTTGGTACCTTATCTCTTTGGATTGACATGACCATTTTCCTGGTACCAATGCCCTAGCGCTACCTAAACCTACTTTCGATCATCGGTCTATTTTCCTCAACACCCATCCGGCCCCCTCAGGGCCCCAAACCCTTCCGTTTTGAATTAAGCTGGCTAGAAAAGCTGAGCCTCCTTTCTCTTATTCTCTCCTAGTGGGATCTTTCGACTCTCAAATCGAGGGTGTGTATCCTCCGCCTCCTCCATTCTCCTTAATGGCTCCCCCAAAGGCTTCTTCAGCTCTTCTCGGGGACTGAGGCAGGGAGACCCCCTCCTCCTAATTGTTTGCTATTGTGGTCGAGGTGTTTTAAGTGGTTCATTTCTGGCCTCTACGATGCTGGCCTATTAAATGGCTTAATTCTGGAGCCCCACGAGCATGTGATTTCACATCTGCAATATGCGGATGACACTCTTTTTCTGTGAAGCCTCGACCCAACAGGTTGACATCTTGAAGGTTTTCTTGAAGTGTTTTGAAATAGCAATGGGCTTCCTAATTAATATGGATAAATCCTCTATGATGGGTGTCGCTTTGAATAGCCAATGTATGGAACCTTTGGGAGCCTATTGGGGTTACAAAGTTGATCGAATGCCCTCCACCTAACTAGGTCTCCCCCTCTGTCTAGGGAAAGTCAAAGCATGGCCTCTGGAGCCATCTGATAGATAAATTCGATCGGCGACTTGCTGTCTGGAAGGGCAGGTTTCTCTCTCCTATGGGCCCGCATGACCCTAATCAAGGGTACTCTTTCAAATATTCTTGTTTTCCAAGTGTCCCTTTTCCTTATGCCTGCATCGGTTCGTGCCTGTTTAGAACAACTCATGAAACAATTCCTCTGGTCTGAGGAGGGAGGTCAGAAGTTCCACCTCATCTCCTGGGACAAAGTCTATAGGCCCATTTGGGCTGGTGGCTTGGGCATCCGTAGGCTCAAGCTCTGCAACTTGGCCCTGTTAGGACAATCGTGGTTGTGCTTCGCCACCCACCATAACCACCTTTGGAGAGATGTGCTTTCGTCAAAATATCACATTCCAGCCTCTGCTTGGCTCTCCTGAGAAGGTGGGCTCAACAACTCCTCTGGGATTTGGAAAGCTATAAACTGGACCCTTGCGCTCTTCAGGGCCCACTCTCGATTTTGAGCTAAAGATGGCACCAGGATCCAGTTTTGGTCGGACTTATGGATAGGCCATTCCCTGCTTAAGGAAAGGTTTCATAATCTTTATCTCCTAGCGTCCGACAGGGCGATAGTTGCGGAGTACTTCGACACGATAGGGGTACTAGAGTATGGAGCCCCAGGTTTAGAAGAATGTTGATGGAAAATGAGGGAGCCGACTTCCTTGCCCTCTCGTCTTTCTTCCACTCTCCTTTCGTCCCTAGCCAGGGCCAAGTCGCTCTAGTTAGGGCCGCCCCCACACCCTTGGGGACTTTCACAGTCTCATCTTTCTGCAGGGTGATAAAGGCCCAAGCCATCTCTCTGTCCCCTTCCCTCTCAGCCCATGCCTGGTCAAACCTCTCCCCTCCTAAAGTTAGATGGTTTTGGTTTACATGGATAGCGTGCTCAGAAAGAGCCCCAATGGTGGATCAATTACAACAGAGAGGCTTCCAGCTACCAAACAGATGCATCATGTGTCTCAATGAGGAGTCTAACCCTCGTCTTTTCCATTGCTCAGGCCCTTTGGACAGATATCTTGAGCCTTTTTGGTTGGCAGTGGGTCAGCCCTCCATCCATCCCTCATGCTTTTCAGCAGCTTCCCCCCCCCCCGGCCCAAACCAGGGCTACTCCTCTAGAGAACTGCAATCTGCCCTTTTGTGGACCTTATGGAAATATAGAAATTGTAGAATCTTCCGAGGCAAGATAACAACCCTTGACTCCCTCATCCATATCCTTGGAACCTCTGGCAGACCCTCATCTCTTGCTGCCCCATTAGAGTTCCTCGCTCCTCCTTTTGGCATCCCCCAATCCTGACCAAATCAAACTGAACTTCAAGGGCTGCTCTCTAGGCAACCTAGGACAGTCGGGGGTTGGAGGCCTATTTAGAGATTCCATGGGGCACACAGTGCACTCCTGGTCCAAGCACATTGTTGTCACGGACTCGACTGCAGCTGAGGTCATTGCACTCCTTGAAGGCCTTAGAGCTTGCAACCCAGCCTGGAAGGAAACCTTCGCTCATCATAGAAGGGGACAACAGGAACGTAATTGAGTGCGGGCTTCAGGAGCCGGCCTTAGCCGCTGGAGACTACAGTACTTTTTTAATGAGATCTCCTCCCTCTGTGTGCACATACAACTGGAAGCCAACTCCGATGCAGACACACTTGCAGCAGGTGGAGCTTCCTCACCCTCTCTTTTGCCCACCTGAGCTTGATGTTCTCTCCCAGCTGCATTTCATTTACTTTGCTCTTATTTTCCTATATTGTACATAAGAAACATTTTTTGGTAGCCCCTTCAGAGGGACACATTTTTTGGACCCGTGAGGTTTTTGTATAGGGCCCCACTTGTGTTAGGGCTTCCCGCTGTTATTCTCTGTACTCTTTTCTCTTACTTAATACAAAAGTTAACATTCTCATAAAAAAAAAAAAAAAAAGGAAACCCTTCATAAGTTCCTGCCCTTGGGTTCTTTGCCTATTGTCGACATCGAATTCCTGCAAAGCTCCTGGTTTATCACCATGAAATTTCTAATCCATGGGTCTCCCTAGCAAAATGGCAGCAAGCATGTCACCCATGGTTTCTAAGTTATACACTTTATGGCTTGGGGTTGCATTTCAAAGCTTAGTATGTTCTAACAAGCCTTGGGTCATCTTGGTTGAGGTTTATAATCTTCTCTTATGTGATGGCTGGCCCTTGACTTAGGTGCAACCTTCTGGCATGAAGTCGTTAAACTACTGCTAAACTATTTTAAAAGAAAATTTTCCTTGTTTTACCCTTATATCTGACCTATTGAGCCTAAGAAGTAGGTTGGTAGGTATTGTAAATAATAAAACACGATTGTTTGGTGGGTCTTCTTCCTGCCCTAATGACCCTTTCTTAGTTTGTTTTGTACTAGAGCAAGGAATGCCTGTGAGATATACAAATAAGTTAAGGAGTTTTTTTTTTTTTTGAGAGAAATAAATTAAGCCGTTTGACTTTCCGATGTGTACTTGGAATGTAGTATATGTTGTTTGCAAGAATGGAAAATCATCTGTTTGGCTCATCAGTTTAATTGACTCCCTTCAACTTTGAGGAGTCTTCGAACATTTGCTGTGGACCATTTCATTGGAAACTATGCGGTTCTTTTGAATGTTTACTAGTTGTTGCCCCTACACCCTCCATTTTGAAATTTTCATTAAAGTAGTCAAAGCAACATTGCATGGACTTCATGTACATGAATCAATGTTCTTAGATATCTGTTGATTTATGGTTGGTATTCTGTTATCCTTTTTGTGTTACTCTGCTGTCTGTTTTCTTTTTCGATGTTTGACAAATATATGGAGAGTCTACTTTGGGAAACCCTTACTAAACTACTCGATTCAGAATTACCATTGCTAGGAACAGGGAAAGGACAAGCCCTTAACGTGGAAAAGTATTGGTTTCAGCGCTACCAGCTCTTTTCTAGATTTGATGAAGGTGTGAAACTAGATAAAGAAGGATGGTTTTCGGTGACTCCTGAACTGCTTGCCAAGCATCATGCCACACGCTGTGGACATGGCACTATAATTGATTGTTTTACTGGAGTTGGTGGCAATGCGATCCAATTTGCTAGGAAGTAAGGGTCACCTCAAATCAGAGCGCTAGTTTTGCTTTAATTATTGAATTTTCTTATCCGAGCATAGATTTTTCAAGCTTGGTGGTGCAGTCCCTTATGCTTTGCGGAATCCATACTCTGCTCTTATTTATACTTCTAAGTTTCAGCATAGTTTATAATCTATTATATGTAGATTATGTTGGAAGTAACTGTCTTCCTCGTACTATTTTTAGGGGCAATCATGTTATTGGGATAGATATAGACCCGCAGAAGATTAATTATGCACAACACAATGCAAGGGTCTATGGTGTTGCTGATCATATTGATTTTGTAAAGGGAAATTTCTTCCATCTGGCACCTACATTGAAGGTATTGGATCCTTTGACTTAAATCCCTTGACTGTAACAACTAACAGCTCAATAACTTAATGCAACTAAAAATAGTGAGAGAACATGTGACAGAATCGTCCCTATCTTTATGTTTTGTTGCTTAGATTTCACGAATGCTGTTTTATAAACGATCCTTAATAAGAATTGAATTGGTTCTTTGGGGCTTTGTGGACTGCTTTTGGGGTTCAGATACTTATTGTTTTAAAAGGCATCACCTACAAACTGTGCACTATATGTCCTTGTATATATTTTCTTTTTGTTAAAATGCATACGTCTTTCTTTGCTGTCCATTATGTATATGCATTGTGTTCAAGTATCAGCGCATCATAGTGTTTGTTTTTTTTATTGGTTGGGGAAACTGGTAACTTTTGAATTAAGAGGAAGGAGTATAGATGGTGTCAGGTACAAAAAAATGCAACCACGGGCTGGGTGCTTGATACAAAGAGCACTGTTAGCTCCCTAAAAATGCTAACATCCAAATAATACAGGACCACCATACACAAAAAAAAATGGAAGCGAAGCTCAAAAGGTTGCTGTAAGGTTCCCTATCCTTCAGTGCTGGTTGCTCCTTCCTTGGCGAGGGTGTCGGTGGTTGAGTTGGCCTCATGCCATATATGTCTCCATGGGATAAGCATAGTTCTGCAAATGTGAGATATTTTGTCAAAAGTATGTGCTAATCACCAAGGGAAGAGGATCCCAAGACCCAAGCAATCACATTTTTGTACGCCCCCTCTATGACCAAACTGGGCTCCAGCTAAGGCTGAAATTTCTTAGACCTTTGAGTAATGCAAGCGACTCTACTGTGTTGGAGTCCGCATGCCCAATTGACTTGGAAAAGGAATAAAGAGTTTGAGCATCCTTGTCTCTGATGATGCCTCCTCTGCCCGCTGGTCCTGGGTTGCCCAGAGAGCAACCATCAAAGTTGAGTTTGGATCGGCCGGGTTCAGGTGGGCACTAAAGTGATGACCGAGGGATGCGAGTGGGCCTTAATGACTGCAAAGTTTGCCAATCCTGGTGCAAGTCTGAGAAGTGCCTGAAGGAGTTGTGTTTTCTAGCCTAGAAGATTACCAAAGCTCGTACTTTATCTTGCAAGGCCTTGGCAGTGGCCTTCTCTCCGTGGAAGATCCTGTTATTACTCTCGATCCAGTTTACCCGTAACGTATCAATGCATCATAGGTTTTGGTCGTGGATGTTAATGGATGACTGTATTCTATGACAAGCCAAAAAATTGATAAAAAATGGAATGAATCAGGGTTTCGGAAGAAACTTAAGAGATTGAAGGCGTACAATTTAGGAATGATCACCTGGAGATATAGCATTGTTGTTTGTATTTAAAAAAAATAAAAATCCAACAGGGGAGCATACCTTGAATTTTTTTTCTTGGTTTAATGTTTACCAAAATCTGGTGTTTGGCTGAAAGTCTCCAACTCAGAATTTTCCTCATTAGAAGTTCGCTGTTGGTCTTACTGGGTTTTCCTCATTAGATGTCTCGTTGTGGGTTCGAGGGTTTTATGGAATCAATGGAAATCTTGAGACAAATCAGAATCTCTCCTAATTCGCATAAATCTCATCAGATCCTAGCATCGTGTTGTGATCTATTTGTGGTGTTCATACATGATGATGTCCTTGCAATCCTACACGCATATAGGGTCTGCATTCTATATCCTTGACAGGTTATCCTAAAGCATAACTATGTCAAGCTCATACATGAAGTTTGAGGCTAATCCCATACTTGCAGGAATGTTTCTGAAGGAATTTTGTGCAGAAACCAGATCTTCATGTTATTATGTGGAACTTCTCAATCATTCCCGAAATGAACATAAATTCACAACAATAGGATATGGCCAATACCTTAATGATTGCTCTCTTGAAGCTTATTTGATCTTTGTCAACCTTGGGCTCCAATGACAAAGAAATTGTTCACTTAATAGAAATTTGTTGGAAAACTTGATGGAACTGTGATTTCTCTTGTAACCAATCAATAGTTTGTTGAGTTGAATCAATTGGGAGTTCAATGCCACTGCTGCACATTAATTCTTTAAATGGACACCTCTTCATCCCACAAAAATACAGGAACTAGAGTAGAGATATTTACTGCCAATGTGAAATTTTTCGGTTTTATCAGTTACAATATTTTGTGTATCAACTCCGTCAAGGATACTTTTGTTATTGATTACCATCTTTGATTTTGAGCTCTAGGGGATTCGATGAACCCAATATCATGTATCCAAAAATTTAGGTGGCTAATCTGGTATGGATACCCATAGTTTGGAGCTGTTACTCTAAATGATGATATTACGGTCTTTTTTCCTTTCGTCATAGGCTTTTCTGCATGCTATTCTCACCTCCATATTTCTTAAATATGCCTGTGTCACAACCACTTGATGATGCTACAATCAACTTTTATTGTCATATGGTGCCTGTTTATGTAAAAACACCTGCACTCAATCTTTTGTCCCAGATTCTGGAACCTGATATTATTTTATAGGGGCATTGTTCTGCTTTTAACAAGTCATGTTTTAACTAATGGTGGTTGATGCATTTGGATCTTCTTTGTAACATTGATGCTCTTTTATTCTTTCTTGATTCATGCTGGATCCATTCCATCATATTTATAACTATGGCAATATTTCACTATTTGTTTCCTATATGCCTTTTTTTTTTTTGAAAATGTTAACGTTTGTATAAGAGTAAAGGAAAATATGTATAAGAATCGCAAAAAATGTCTTCCTACAAGCCGGGAGCTCTTTACAGCATAAGAATACATTCATGAGATATATTGGTCTACATTAATTCTACTCTATTAAAAAAAAAAAAACAATTGTGGTATTGGTGTAGTTTGAAATAAATTGTCCACCCTTTCTTTCATTCATATATTGCTTTGGATTTTAGATTTCTCTGTATAGTATGAACATTATTAGGAGCCAGATTTTTGGGCTTAAGCTCCAATGGAATTGAATTTGGAATAGGAATTGCCTGGCAATCATCAAACATGGAATCGGGAGTGCTAGCCTAGCAAGAATCTGGCTTCTAAGGTCTAAAGTTGCTATTTTGTTCTGCTTGCCACACAGAGGAAACCGTAAAATCTGCTCATGACACTACATCTGAATCATTTGTATTTTGTTTTACATGCAGGCAGATGTTGTTTTCATGTCTCCTCCTTGGGGAGGTCCAGACTATGCCAAGGTTCAGAAATATGATATCAACATGCTTAGGCCCTATGGAGGGTATGCCTTATTTTAATATTTTCAGTGAATTGGAACTAACGGTTGAAGTTCCTCTCTCTAATCAACTTTATTACATAACAGAACTTTCCTATTTGATACTGCGAGGGTGGTTGCGTCAACGGTTGTCATGTTCCTGCCCCGAAATGTGGACCTAAATCAAGTGGCAGAGCTCTCCTTGCTAGCCAGCCCTCCCTGGATGGTTGAGGTATTCTTTCTTTAATTGTTCTGGACATATTATCTATTTACATATTCCAGAAACTTGGTAGAAATTATGGGTGCTGAAGTATTTAATTGGTTATTGGATATTAACTTTTTAACTATGCAGTGACAAATAATTTGTCAGATGGCCCATTGGTGAGCTGGTTCCATTACTCCTTAATGAAAAAGTTTTACTTATTCTTCGTGATAACAAGAATGCCATGTATTTTTGAGAGAAGGTTAACTAACAAGAATGGCATGTTGTCCAGCCATACATTTCGCACTAGTGCTGAATGCTAGTTCACTAGAATAACCATGACTTTATGAAGCACTCACACTGTCAAGAATGAGGACCACACTGCAGATTGTTTTAGATTGGCCAGTTGATCCTATTTCGGTTTTACTGATCGTGATCATTATTTTTATCCAATTTGATTGGTTAAGAATGGGTTCAAAGCCTCAAATGGTCAAACCTCAACCTAGTGAGAGAGATTACAGACTCGAAATCAACTGCCTAATTTTGGATCTTGCTTTATTTTACAAGTCCTAGTAGCAAACTTCACATTATCATATTGTTGTGCCTGATCACTTTTTGATTGATTTGGTTTTTTAGGTGGAGAAGAACTATGTGAAGGGAAAACTAAAAGGAATCACAGCCTACTTCCATGATACATCCTTATAGAAAAGTCATATTCGTCATGTATCATCTATCCATGGCCCCTGAAAACAAGTTCAAATAGAGAGGTATTGAACCCTATTTTTGGCTCTACAAGGTCACGTTTAAGGTTCTAGTAGCTGCTAAAATGTATTGTAAGATTTTTCTTTTTGTAGAAAGTTTTTGTATGCTATCTAAATTATGGTGTATATTTGGCTTCTCTTCTTTAGGAAAATGTTGGTTAATGAAAATGTTAACCATCTCAAAAACTTACTGTTAATTAAGTAATTTACCAACAAGAGTATACTTTGTAAAAATTCTTGACTTTGAGTACCCGTACTCTCAGCTAGTATTATATTAATAAGCTTAAATTACCCTTGTTTTGTGTTTGGAACCGAGAACATGTGGGGTCGTCATGGTAATTGTGCTCCTTTAGGCTGTTTCAGATGATGTAAATGCCCCTACTTATTCCTTCCCAGAACATGGGGCAAAAGGATTTTAGTGAAAAATCTTTTAGGGTTATACCCACAGAATGTGGGGTTGGTTTTGTCATTGGTCTCAAACCAGTTTGACACAAAATAAAAGGAGCGCATATGCTATGCTCCTATAGGAGCATATATTGTACACTTTAACTCCACTCGGGTAGAAGACTAATTTGGGAAAATTTATTTAGTCCGATGGGAACCACCAAAAAATCTTTAGATAGATTATATTCAAAGAAAAAAGAATAAAGAATAAAGGAAAAGAAATTTTAGTTTTCCAATAATTAGATCTCGCTCTTAAAAAAATGAGATGGTTTCCATTCAATCTTGATATTTTTTTTTTTAAGCCCATAGAGAATTCAATTTGGAAATTTTTTTTTTCGCATGTGGGTCGAAGATGTTACATCTCAAAAATTGGAATTTTAAAAATACTTCTAGATTGAGTGAGCAAGTAAATGTATGGGATGCTCCCTTGGTAGCATGAAATCTTTTGGCAAATGAAAGTGCCCCTCCTTGTTTGAAGTGTGCCAAACTTGAACTACAGATTTTAATGGAAAAAGCGTGTTTCTAAATTTGGAACATATTGGGGTACTTACATGTAACTCGGTCGAAATTTCCAAACTATAAATAGGAGAACTATAAATAGGAGAAGTTAGGCTGTTTTTTTTTAGTAGGTGGCGAGGTTGTATTAGTGTTATCAATATCAAACATGTTACCATATGTGAGGGATTTGATTTAATAAAAATCAGATTGTTAAATGCTAAGAAAAAAATGTGTGTAATATTTTAAAATTATGTACTATATCTAAAAACAAAGTTGTCCATTTTATTTGGCCAGTCCTGGTCGTCGTAACAAGCGAGTTGGACAGGTAAAAACGAAAATTTGAACACGCCACATGCTTCCCACATAAAAAAGAACTGTAAATTCCCCAAAATAACAAAGGCAGGCCTCGTAAATGTCTTCACATCAACTCATCACCCTATCCATCTTATGCCAACGAACGAGGGACGATTTGGGTGTGCTCATATTTTATGAATCAATGGATTTTGAGCTAGCTGATGAATAATGAACCCTAACCACCTCTTGTTGACATCTAAAAGGATTTTGACGTACATTGGGAGAGAATGAGCATAACCTAGCCCATGCTGATATTACTGTGATATGAAGGTACTATAGGAAGCATGCTCCTATATTCTCGTTGGATGTGTTATAGTTATCAAGACTGGATTAAATCGGCAGTGCGATTGCTTATTGGTGCTTTGCCGGTGTAGTCCAAGATTAAAAATGGAGTTTAATAAAAAGCTGGTCGAAATCAATTTCTATGGATTTTTACTAGTTTGGTCGACTGGATAGACCGGCCAAAACAAAGTGGGAAACTTTGTTAAGATATAATATATAATTTTAAAATGTTATTTTTTAAAAAAAGAAAAATATTTTTTAAAATCCGATTGAACCATTGACCTACAATAGGACCAATTTTGATTGGGCCAGACTTCTCATTAATTTGATGCACGCTCTTATCTTGATAACACTCGGAACACATTTCGATAAAGAAACATTAGAATGCTCAAATAACCTTTAAGACTATGAAAACATGATAGTGCTAGTCATCACCATCTAATCCAATCTACTGGCCACAACCACCACCTCATGGAACAAAGCGCAAGAGTTTTGAGTTTCGGGACCATGGCCATGTGCATTTCCAGGAATAGTTTTTAGATGTGAATTGCATGAAGTGCACCTTAAAGATTCAAAGGTACACCTACAAACTATCCAATTTTGATGTTGGAAATTTGTAAGAATCTATTGTTACCTCTAATTATAAAATTTTAAGATATAAAAATGGTTCAAATCAAGCTGATCGACAAATGCATAAAAATCTTGAAAATGGATTGCCTAGATAATGTGTTGCAAGATGAATTATGGTTAGGACTTGAAATCGCTTTTCTTTTTTTTTTCGTCATATCTATACATCTTGATATCTAGATAATTAATTAGACATTTTTCTAATATCGAAACAACCTTTTTCATAGGATTTTATAGGTGCACATTAGTTCTTCTAAATTTTAAGGTGTCAACATTATATAAACTTTTTTCTTAAATTATTAATACATATCAACACAAGTTTGTAGAAGGCAAAATGACTCAATTTTTGTAAGCATCATACACAAGCATTTCCACACAATTTTTTAATTATAATTAAATAGTTGTTACTAGATCAAAATAAAAAAATATATGGATCTTGCATGCAAACCTCAAGGGCGGTTTTTTAAAAAGGGACTGGGATGGTGATGGTAATATCTCCACACCCTAGTTACCGCATTCTAGTTTCCGTTCCCATTACTATCACCTCAAACCAATGATTTAAAAAATGGATCGGTGACCCAGATCCGGATCGGCGAATCGGCGATCCGGATCGGGAATCGGTTGAATCGGTCGGATTAAAGCTTCAAAAAAATCCGAAAAAATTATTAAAATTCATTATTAATGTTGTTTTTTAGGAATCCAATAAAAAATGAGGGCACTACATTATTAACTTTCATTTTTTTATCAATTTGTGAATATTGAGATGTTTTTTGCCCTGTATAAATTTATTTTAACTATTAAATTTGCATCACATAAAAGAAAAATCATAGAATTATCATGGATAAAATATATAATTATATATGGACTATTATAAAGAGTAGACTAATCAATGAAAGAATGGCCATTAAAATCTCGTTTTGGTGAAAAACCCTAACCCGCTAAAAAAACCCAAACTATTACAGCCTAACTAACTATAATCCAAAATTATTACAACCTCACTAATTATAATATTATATACTGAAATTATAATTATTAGTTTACATTTTATAATTATTTTATTAGACAAATAATAACAAATTAAAAA